TATATGTTCGCACACAAAGCGACACTGCGATCACAAGCCACTTTATAGTAGCAAAAGCAAAAGTGGCTCCTCCAAAAACAATAAGTCTATCACAACTTGAACTATGTGGCGCGCTACTACCTTCGAAATTAGAATCTCCCGATTCTTGGCTACAATCGCCCATGCGCAATATAATTGCCCTAGAAAGTCGAAAATCGATTTACCTCATTTCCCCGAGCGCTTAAAGTAGTTGCCTACATGCTCAAATTTATAGAGCGAATCAAAATTAAAGTTAAGAAGGTACCCGCAATATACCCCCAGTTACATTGACGTACCTAGACTTACAAAGAGCAAAGGGCGCTCTATCGCATATACCCAAGCATGCTACTTCAGACGCGAGATATCATTGCTAAGAGAATCGAAGCTGATTTATAAAAAAAGGTAATTTTTAGTATTAAACCCATTTCTGGAGACGAAATGTACCAGAGAAGGCTTGACATGCCACATTACTCATCAGTTATATTCACATATTAATGCTTCATGCCGACCATCGTCTCATGCAACATATGATCCGCCAGGAATTTTACATTCCTTTTAACCCCCAAATAAAGAATTGCATTTTCATGTGCAAAATCTGCACTATGCACAAGTAGAAGATGCAAACACAGCAAACAGATGGCAGCGCTTCCACCACAATGCTGCAACTGAGCTCTGCCTTTCACAATTACAGGTGTCGATTTTGCTGGGTCTCTTCAGATAAAGGCGTCCATTCTAAGGTCTCCCACCATATTGAAAGGCTATGTGGCTGTCTCTGTCTGTTTTACGACAAAAACAGTGCACCTCGAGCTATGTACTCAAAATACCTCAAAAGTAGTGAGTGATAACGGCAAAATCTTCATTGGAGCCCAAAGAGCCCCTGAAAAAAGGTTGTACATTTTATTAAACAAGTATCACCTGGAATTGTTCAGAAGTACGCTCCCCAAGGCATTAATTGGCAGTTTATGCCCCCAAGCGCTCCTCCTATGGGTGGTATATAGGATTCCAGCTCATTCCCATAAACCACCTTCAAATCCCATTTAAAAAAAGTAGCTGTTCTTAATTCACGGCCACTTACAACACTATCTCAAGATCCCTCTGACTTCACAGCCCTAATTCCAGGTCGCCGGGTCGCTATCCCTATTAAATCGACAGGAATGAATAAAAACTCTCCATCATGATTTCAGCCGCCGATGAGAGGAAACCGATAGAAAGCTCCAGAAAAGGCACCAACGCTTGGAGATAGTGTCATCATACATGATGATTGTCTCAATTTTCCTCGGTATAATATTTAATGTTTTACCCATTTATTACTTCTAACAAATTCATAGTGTAGCGTATCGGTAACCTTTTGGTTACCATAAACAATTTCTATTCTTTAAAATATAATCCGATATTTTAATACTCTTGCAACATGTTTCTACAGAGTACAATAGTTTTGTTTACCGAACGGTTGTTTGCATCACCTAAAACTAATCAAAATAGATATGGAGTTATACATTACACAAGATAATGATTAGCGTAATAAAACTTGATACGTCTGTAAATTAATGACCACCCTGTGGCAAATCGATGATCCATCCAGCAGTCAGAATTTGTTCCTTGGCTCTTTTTAGTAGATAGGCGTAATCGGACCACTGCCCCGTCCACAAAACGCCATTAATCGAAAACTTATACTATAACTAAGCCACAATTTAAGATACAAACCCGTAATTTGGTACAACGAATCGCAATAATGAAAGGCCCCTGTGATATGAAAACTTTTTGAAAGTAGGAGTGACCGCGCCCTCTAATATGTTTATTGTATATATCTCCTAAACTATTCAAGCTATATCACCCAAATTCGCACAGAACATATCATTTCGCCACCTCATTCGATAGCGTGAAAATAGGAGAAATATCAATATTGGACAATGGGCGTGGCACCGCCCACATATAGATCAAATCACATATCTTCGAACCTATTCCACTGATTTGGTACATAATATTATCTTGACATACCCATGTTACAGTGCGAAAATGTAATGTAATATCGCGGTTTGCTTTTCGAGGCAGTTTAGACCTTTACTGTTAAAATCCTGTAGATCAAATTTCGAACTAAACGAACCATTCTTCCGTGTATGTTATGACTTTAATTCTCATTCCAGCACATTTGACTTATCTGGCTCACTTTTCAAAATTAAAAAGACTTCATTGCTATTGCTATTATATCGTAACTATAAATCTTAGCTGTTGAAATTTTGGTTTCTGTAGCTGAGTAGTTTTAGATCTCAACTATACAAATATGAAAGTGCCACTTATGTTCGATTACGATAACATGTACTACGTTAAACGAGTGATAATGAAAGAGAGGCAGCAGATTCCACCAAAATCAAAAGCAGGTATTTTGGCAGAAATATATGGAGACTATGAGGCAAACAAGTTGAGGCTTGTTGAAGCCGTGATAAATTATGAAATACGGTTGAGGCAAACCATCAAAATAACGTTAAACATTTTCTTCTCAGACACTCATCCATATTTAATTAAGCCGATTCCACACCAGGAAAAACCAAAGTTGTGAAAAATTTTATTAACACAGGCGGTACCAGACCAATCCAATAAGCACCCCGAAGCCTTCCTTTAGCAAAACGTGAAGTTGTAAACCAGGCCATACGTGAAATAAGAGCAAAAAGATGACAACATGAGATTCTGTGTGGACTATAGATGGTTGAATGATGTAACATAGAACGACAGTTATCCACTACCTAGAATCGATGACACGCTGTCCTCGTTATCAGGCACAAAATGGTTCTCAACACTTGACTTGATAAGTGGTTACTAGCAAGTGAAGAAGACAAAGAAAAGACGGCTTTCAGCGTTGGAGATGGTTTATGGCAATATATCGTAAGGATTACAAAGATAAAAGATAAAAGATTTCACTGGAAGACCTGTTTGGCATTCCTCGACGATATCATCGAGTTGTGTAATAGCTTCCATGAATACCTTAGAATTCATAAAGGGCTGGATCATGGTGTCATACGACCCGTGCCGATGATCAACCTGGCCGGGGGCCATTAAATAGGTCAGTCTCGAACGGAGCTTACGGATACCTGGCGCCTTCCCTAATAAGATAACCTAACTTGCGTAGCGAGGGCTATGCGCAAGTGGTCATACTATGCCCTACACACCAAGTTATGAACCAAATAAACAAAAATACGAAAAAATAGGAGTCCGGATCTCCTGTAAAAACGCCGGAGAGAGCGAGTTGTTCAGAGTTCGGACAGGAGCGCAGCTTAGTCCTGGAGCAAAGGCAAATACTAGTAAAGAAACAGAAGCTAAAGACAGCACCGGAAGCTGCCCATATTAAACCCTCTACACAAGGCCCGGCTGATAAGCAGGGGAAGGAGGAAAATGCCAAAAATGCTGCTGCTAGTAGTGCGTTAGCCAGAGAATGGCCCATTTTTAAGATAGACCCAGCGAAGGCAAAGTATGCAGAGAAGCGACACGCTGCATACCTGCTGGGGAAGGTGAAGCTGCAAGCGCCAACCAATGAGTAGCTTACAAAGGACCTCCAGGAATCCATTAGTTGCGCGAGAGCTTTCTTTCCTAACTTTAAGCTGGAAGAGCCAGCTTTAAGCTGGAGAGTTCTCGAATGACGTGGAGAACACTGAACAAGGAGAGTGTACTTCGGGGTCTGAGCTTGCAGACAGACTCTCTTAGCTATACACTGAGAGTGAGCTTTTGAGCGACTCTCAAGAAGACAATAATTAATGCGTCTTCTCCAAATTTATATCCACCATAGCAAACTTACTTCTGTATGGCAGAGGATAGCCTGACTTCGTCCTCATCCAGGAACCCCGGGATTTGACGCATGTCTAAATAAACGCGTTGAAAAATTCCATTTTGACACCGCGTTAAGAGTGAAAACGAAAAAATTCGATTTTGACAGCGAATTAAGAAGTAAAGTTTGCTGCAGAAAACGAAGAAATTGTAACTTTTCTGAAACATTTCTTGACTCGCAATGTTTAATACTTGTACAAATGGATGTAAGCATTATTAAAAAATTAGATCATTTTACATTTGATTTCTTTTGTAATAATTTTATAATTTAAGTGAGAATTTGACTTAAAGTTGCTTTATTTAGGAGTGCCGCATCGGCGTTAACGCTGAGCGGTATAAAACGCGCTGCTCGACGCTTTTATTTAAGGACGGCAGTTAGGTGGAAAGCAGTGTGGCGAACATGAATACCAGAACAAAATATAATCAACGATAAGCCGCTAGAACTAACAAGATAACAAAATTCGTAGTTGCCAGAATGTTCGAGTGGCGATATTTTCATAACAATCTACAATATAAGGGCTGCCGGATTGTGCAGCAGGACAGTTCTAATTAGAGTGCTGCTTAGTAATGCTAATAAGTATTAAGTTGTTTAAATTAGAAATAAATATTAGAGTATAGCATTAAAATTTTACTTTTATTTAACAATCTAGTGATCAAACTTAATAGTGATTTAGTCGGCTTCCACATGGGGTCTCTTTGTCGCTCATTATCGGCAAATTCTCTTTTGGTGCCGCTCTGTGCGTTCACACAAGCGAAAAGGGTCCAGCAACTCGAATCGAGTTTTTCTGTCTATCCTTTCACGAATTTTTCGCAAATGTTTGTGGTTCGGCTGCGCGACACTTACAGAGTTTAACATATTTCATTTAAACGTTTGGATGCTGGTCTCGCATTACTATGCATGTGATAGAACAATATTTAAAATACCCACTAAACTAAAATGTATGACGGGTATTTCCAAATCTATCGGGATATATATACCTGTAATGTTTTTAAGAAATATTTTTTCTAATGATTACAAAAAATTCATAATTTAATTATATAAAATGATATTTGAATTCAATTCTCTGCGTTTAAACATATATATGAAGTATCTTAATACATTTAGGTAAATATAAAAACGAGAATGTAACTCCATTATTATTAAATTTGATTTATATGTTTTATTAGGTTTAATACTGCTAAATTTTATAAAATATTTATGAGTTCCTTTTTCTTATTCATTATATTCCAAAGTATTTATATTATTCTACGCATACATGCATATAACATTTCTAACCGAATCGTATATATTCATTTAAAACCTAGAGCAGTTGCAACCATGAAAAGAATTAGAAAATAAAATGGAATGCAGAATTGGGTAGCACAAGCGGCAGGGTCCGTCCGTTTTTCCTCGTCGTCTCCCACACCAATAATGAACCGGATTGGGTAACAGCTGGGTCCGTGTGTGAACTGGCACTTACTAGGTCGACGACTTATGGAGAAATCTGTTACACCTATCATTTCTTCAATCAATCGCCGCCATCTATTGAAATCGATTTGCTAAGTTCGATAAATAGTCGGTTTTACTCGTACTTTGATTTTGCTCCCACAAGAACACGCTTTTTGTTCTTATTCGAAAGATTTTGCCGCTACGTAATTCGGCCTTACTCTCCGTTTCATATGAATACATGTACATTATGTTACTTATAATGTACACACTTGTAACCGCGGGTAACTTATTTTCGAGATATTTACGTTTAAGTTGAAAATTTCAACTATTTAAAGTACGTGTTTTTTGATTTAAAATGAATTACACATTTTTTTATCCACTAACACTTCACTTATTCGTTTTTAAATATTTTTGTTTATATTATATCCTGCAAAAATAGCTTTACTTTAATATTTAAATCATTCTTAAATTTTATTAATTTTAACAATAACAAAATGCTTGTAAATGTTAAAAAACCAGTGCTGCCATACTAATATATTTTGCAAACGAAGAAATATAAAATAAACAGAGATTATATCCTAGATATAGGAACCAACGCAAAAAGAATTTCTGCGCAAAACAACCTTGGTACAGCCCGGCGTTTGACCGACCAGGGTTATTTTTTTGAAGCGCGGGGGAAGGCCGCCCACGCAAAAAGAAGTTCTGCGCAAAAAAACTTTGGTACACCCCGGTGTTGGACCGACCAGGGCTATTTTTTTTAACCGTGGCCGAAGGCCGCCAACTCAAAAAGAAGTTCTATAAGAAAAAGTAATATTGTCATAGGGTATAACATAATACTTAACATTGCATTGATTATGTCTCTCTAATAGTTTATTTTTCTAGGTTTTGGATTCCTGTTTTGGGTATTATCTGTTTTCATTTCTTTCAGTTCAATTAAAAAAGATGTCGATAAGGTAACACTGGTTATTTGACATTTTGCAACCCTTTTGTTATTGTCAGAAAGACTGGAACGGTATACTAAAGTTTTCCCTAAAACTTAGCTAATATGCCTATAAGTAACATAAGAATATTAACGTTTAAACGAATCTTACACAGCTGAGCTATCTTGATCGAAATCTGACTTCTTTTTAACGAAGAATGGAAAACATTAATGAAAAATTTCCCGAATATTTTTGAAACAAATATTGATTATTGTATAATTATTGATTTAAAATAAATAATTTGTCCATATTTAGGAAAAAAAATTAGATAATTATCTGAAGAAATGGAAAATAATGTTGTGAGCCTGACCGAGAATAGTTGAACTACGCGGAAAATTTCTAAAAGGCTTTGTATTAGTCAATCGGCGGTGATCGCAGTTCAAAAGAGGCGAAATCTTACTTCCAAATGGCAAGTCGCAGGTCGCAAAAAATTATTGAAGGACTCAGATGCTCGTCTAATGAGGTCCGAAATGAGAAAAAACAATCTACTAACACCAAAGGGTTCTTCTATGGTCATTAACAAAAAAAGTTAGTGAATGGACTGCTAGAAGAGCGCTGCGAGACATCGGATATATTTCAAGTGTGAAAAAAAACCTGCATTGTCTGATAAGAATATTAAAGCGCGGGAAGCATCATAATTGAACAATTGAAGATTGGAAACGTGTTGTCTGGCCTGATGAGTCTAAATTTAACCGTTTTCAGTCAGTCGGAAAGCAATACTGCTGGCGTAGACCGGGAGAACTAATACAAAGACACCATGTAAAACAAACTGTTAAACATGGCAATGGAAATATAATGGTTTGGGGATGCTTTACATGGTGGAATGTTGGTCCTCTAATTTAGTAGATGGTAGATTCAAATTCTGCAATCCTATCTTCCCAAATTTATTGAGAAATGTGCATATCACGAATAAGAAAGTTTTTTTCTACAAGATGGGGAACCGAAGCAAAGCAAAACTTATAAAGGAAAGGATTGGAAAAAACCATTTTAAATTGATGGAGTGGCCAGCACAAAGTCCCGACCGATTGAGAATCTTTGGTCAATAGGGAAAAGACGGATCGGGTAGTTCGAAGCAGCTCCAACAAACATGGGCAACCTTTGGGATCATGTAAAAGCAGAATGGAGTCGAATTCCAAAATATTTTATTGAAATTTTGGTAGAGAGCATGGCAGACCGCGTAAAAGAAGTCATTTCTAATAAGGGTCTATGGAACAAATATTAAAATCTATTTAGTTAGTGATTTTTTTTATGTGTGCAAAATTGAGTTTATTCTTTCAAACTATTAGAATTTTTCTCAATTGTCATTGTTTCTTTACTAGAATTTGTTACGAAATACATCATAAGAATAATACTAAAAATTTTTTGGATTTGCTTGTTTGGGTTTGTTTTGATGGATGATAAAAGTCAGTTTTGTAAACATGCACTCAATTCTACGTGCCATTGTAAGTCAAAACAATGAACTTGAAATAATACTTGTATTAATTTAAACAAAAACAATAATAAATATAAAAAATAAACTAAGAATTTAAATATTCAACAGACAAAGAATTTTCACTCACATAAACATAAACATGTAAGTTAAAAAAGATAAAATTGGAAACATTTAATAATATTTCAATACAATAAATAATACTATGTAAATTTAATCTTTAGGAATTAAAACAACCGAAAAATATTTGAATATGGAATAAAAACATTCTTAAAGTTATTAATTTTAAAACATAACACGGCAACACACTAGAGCAGATTTCTGTCATTTGAACGTTTTAGTAGTAGAATACTGGTTGGCAACCCGTACAAAGTGTGATTTTAGTAGCAGAATATTGGTTGGCAAGCCAAGTGGGATATTTTTGCGTGTGTATTAGTGAAAATCTTAGGATTGGTTACTTGTTGATTTATACAATGTTTAGAACATAACACGGCAACACACTATAGAAGATTTGAGCCTTTTTGCAGAGAACGTATGTATATCATAGAGAAGGTTCGTGGTGTGCCAATTGTTAAAATGTTCATCTTGACGGAGGGTTACTCGCCAACTTAAGAGGATTTCACCACAAGCAAATTATAAGCGGCTTTTACCAGAATTTTACCCCTGCGGAGCGCAAAATAGCAGAATTGAGCATTTTGAACGTTAAATGAGAAAAATAATGCTAATTTCAATGTTAAGAAATGTACGCTTCCATATTCGTATATTTACAATGCGAAACGACTTTGCATAAAATTTTAAGATATTCTGTATACTTGTTGTTGTTATAACGATTATCTAATCCCCGTTAGGGTGATAAATTCTAGATTCGTTGTCGTCGAGGTCATCTAACGGAAGGCCCAGGAAACGAGCTGTTTCAACGGGGTCGGACCATAGGGAAAGGGGTGTTAGATGAGTGGGGTTTGTAGGGCATGCAAAGAGGTGGTTAGTGTCATGCGGAGACTCATTGCATGCAGGACATGTGTTTAGTATGTCGGGGTCTATTCTGGATAGGTAGGAGTTTAACCTGCTACAGTATCCAGAACGAAGTTGCGCGAGGGTCACTCTAGATTCGCGAGGCAACTCGAGCTCTGTGTCTGCAATGGGTGGTGGTTTGACTCGTATTACGCCATTCACTGAAAGGGAGTCGGTGAAGGTGTTAATGGCTCCACTGTGAATGGCGGTCAGTGCTTGTCTGAAGTTAGTTGCGTCCGAAGTCTGGTCGACGTGCTGTCTGATGTCGTCGACGTAGTCAAGGAAGGACCTCTTGATGTTCCTAGGAGGCTGCTCCGCTGCAAGCAGGCGTCTGCAGGGGTGGTTTCTGCGAAAACATCCCAGCAGAAACTGCTTGGAGAGGAGCTCATTATGTTCCTTAACCGGAAGCATACGGGCCTCACTGTGTAGGTGTTCGATTGGGGACATCAAGAGGCACCCCGTGATAGTCCGGAGTGCAGTGTTCTGACAAGTCTGGAGCTTCTTATTCTGCGTGTCACTACATCCAGGCGACCATATTGCGGCTGCATAATTGAGGACCGGCCGGCCGATTGCCTTGTAAGTTGCCAACAACGTTTCTTTGTCCTTTCCCCATGAGCTGCCGGCAAGCGACTTGAGGATTTTGTTGCGGCTCTGTACTTTGGCAGTTACCGCGGTCGTGTGAGGAGTGAAAGAGCACAGACTGTCCAAAGTGACGCCTAAAATTTTAGGGTTATTTACTGTCGGAATTTTTGTGCCATCGACTGAAATGTTCAGGTCCAGTCTGTACTCTTTCGTCCAATTGGTGAAGATGGTCGCTGTGGATTTAGTGGGGGAGAGTGTTAAGTTCCTTGCAGAAAAGAAGCGAGAAAGATCGGAGAGGTAGCCGTTTACTTTTGAACACATGCCATCGATTCCATTGCCCGACGTCAATATCGTACAGTCATCTGCGTACGAGGTCATTGAAATTCCCGCTGGTGGCTGGGGGAGTTTCGAGATGTAAAAATTAAACAGTAGCGGGGAGAGGACACCGCCCTGCGGAACCCCCTGTTTAATTTTCCTGAGTTTGGAGTTTTGACCTCGAAATAGTACGGATGAGTGTCGACCGCTCAGGTAGTTCATGGTCCACCGCTTCAACCCTGGAGGGAGCGTTGATTGTTCCAGGTCCTCAAGTAGCGTTGCGTGATTGACTGTGTCAAAAGCTTTTGACAAGTCCAACGCTACGAGGATCGTCCTCTCGCAGGGTGGCTTCTGGTTCAGGCCATGAACTATCTGGGCGTTTATGACGCTAAGTGCTGTGGTGGTACTGTGCACTTTACGAAAACCATGCTGATGGTCTGCTAGGCTCAGGTGGTGGGTGAATGACGGGAGTAACAAGGCCTCAAGTGTCTTCACTACTGGGGAAAGGAGAGTTATCGGGCGATAAGACTCCCCTTTGTTGGCGGGTTTCCCAGGTTTCAGTAGTGGGGCCACTCTTCCGACTTTCCACACATCGGGTATTTGAAGAGTGGATATCGACAGGTTGAGGACCTTGGTGAGGTAGTTTACTCCCGTTGGGCCTAGATGTTTTATATTCTGTTTTCTAAGTTTTAGATATTCTGTATACTTATACAGGGCGGCTCACGAATCGTAATACAAAACTAAACCGTAATAAGTTTCTTTTTAATCAATGTATTACATGACTGAAGGGTTGAAGTCGGGATTGCCTCAACTATCTATTTAATGGACTGCTTCAGTTCAGGAACTTTTCTGGGTTTGATTTTGTACTCCTCTTGCTTGACATATCCCCATAAGAAAAGACCAAGTGGTCGCAAATATTCTTATACATATATATGTATGTATATGTATATATAATTATTTGTGCATGTAAACAAATATGTACACTCATTGTTTCATAGGAAATCAGAACCATACACACTTTTACAAACATACATCGCATATGGCAAGTGCAAAATCAACCCTTATTCATATATAACGTAGCATGCGTAAATGGAAACAAAGTCAACAAGTCATGTGCATATATACGGGCAGATGTGTGTACAAAAAATTCGAATATTTACATACGCACATTCTTTGACAAATACAGTCAATCCCGGTTAAGTGCCAAAACCAAAGATGCAGATTTTTTGTGCTTTGTGGTACATAAGCGATTGTGGTACTTAAGGAGTGGTACCAAAAAAATAATTTCTATGTATTTAATAAAAAAATATAACCGTTTTCCTTTAAAAATTAAAAAAAAAACCTGAGATGCAGCAAGACACAGGCAGATAAGAGGGATTGAAGGATTGATACTTAACCGGGGTTTACTGTATACATAAATCAGAGGAATATTGAATATTTTCTTCAAAAAGTTTCTTGAATTGTAAATCGACAAATATACTATGTTGTCACTTTTATTCTAAAATATTTTAATACTCATATTTGAGGGGTTGTCACTTTTCCCTTCTAGAGGAAATATCAGAAATTTGTTCATTTTATGATTTTTAGCTTTTGCCATCGTCGTGAAAAGAAGCTTGTAGGCAAACGCATGTTCGGGGAGATGAGAGGGTGTCTGTTTTTATAAATGAAGCGAGGTTGCTTGTTAAAAGTACGCCTGCGTTCATGAATGAAAATGTTGTTGTTGTGCAATTTACTATAAATTTGGGCTTCGCCTATTTGGCTGACATATTGACTTGTGACGATTGTTGTTTTTGTAGAACAATGTTTGTAGTTTTTGCGGGTGACATATTTACATGTGTACGCATATACATATGTATGTATGTTGGTTTGTGTATGCATTATTTGTTCGGCAATTTTATGTCTACATACATATACATATGCGTGTACATATAAATCAATGCACGCACATATAGTGTATTGATAAGTGATAAAATCATGATTTGACTTTCTGAATGCGTACATTCAAATACATACGTACATACATATGACTATATAAGATTAATATGATAAAATATGTACATACATATATATATTGTAATAAATTTAATCTCTATTATTATAATATAAAATATTTATTAGGAATGTATATTAGGAAAAACTATATAAAATTATTAAATGCCCAAATTGACTATAAATATTATTTCGAAATTTCATAATTTAAAGTATCTTATCAGTTTTGCATGCATTCATAAAAATTCGCAAAATGATATTCATATCAATAAATATGTCTCTGAGAATAATTTTCATTGAATTCTCAGCTCTGTTCACTCTCCACTGTTAAAATTTCTCCTTCCGAGCCAGATGTGGTGAAATCCACTATTAAAATCTTGGTAGGCTTTGACAATTCACACGCTGGTCCGCAATTGAACCTTCTCTATGATATACGTTCTCTGCCTGTACCAAATGCTATCTTTTGCGTATGTGTTTCTGCCATCTCTAAATAAAAGCGGCAGCGGATTTTGTATCGCTTATAATTAAATTAACGCGGTGGCAACGCGTAGCGGTTAAAAATTTTGATTTTGACAGTGCGGTACGACGTGAAGTTGGCTGCAGAAATCGAAGAAATTGTATTTTTTCTGAAAAAATTTCTTTAAAAATGACGTTTAATGCTTGTAAAAATGGATGTAAGTTTTATTAATAATTTTATTCGTTTTGCGTGTCATATCTTTTGTATTAATTTTAGTAGGGTAAGGTTTATACAGAGATAATCAGCGACAAAAGAGGCCTTGTGTGAACGGAGTATTTGCGGTTACGATTCGATAATTAAAAACAAACAAAATTTCTTACTTCTCTAAATTATTAAAGTTTTATGTAAAACAAACACGTGGAAATTTACATAAGAAAGTTGTTAAATTAATTAAAGAAATATGTTTCGCATGCCACCACAAATCGATCCCGCTGAGGAAAAAAAACGAATCCAAGAAGATGTGCGTAACAATTTTGTTTTCTTTGCGGTGTTGTGTGCTGCTATCCGAATTGGTACGTAAATAAATAAAGTTCTAATGAATTAAAGGCATCTCATTAAAAATGTTTATCGCGTCAGCTCCTTTCGTTTTAGGTAAAATAAGAGCATAGCTTGTTAGAAAACATTTGGTTATGGAATCAAAAAGGACATTTATTTCTGTCGTTTGAAAAACGAAACCTAAATCGATATGTTATCATTATCAATCTTATATGTTAAGGTCATCAAATAAGTATCGATGAAAACATTGAAGTCAAGAACGAATTAAAAATAAATATATACATACTTATGTATACTATAATACCTATGCATTAATCAAATAAATTTCTTTAAGACATTGAATGTAAAATATATTCCCCTGCGAAACTTGAACGTGAAAATTGTGTTAAAGAATTAGATGTTTATGGAATACAATGCTTCTTTGAATTATTTCAGACAATAAAATATATGTATATTAAAAATAGTTGTTGTAGCAGTATAGAACCTGTTTGGGTAGCAAAGCGTAAGTTAGGTGATATTAAAATCATCGAACGGAAGGCCCACAGGAGGCTGTTAGAAAACTCATTTAATTGAAAACTCGAATCCCGCTAATTGAACAAAATAATCAATTTGGGTCGGCTTTAGAATAACGTCCCACGCTTTCGGGGATAAAACGGGTATAGGCGGATAGAGGAGATCCTCCAGATCAAGAATATATATAGATATAGCCGCGGGAAACTTATAGTTTTCGAGATATTTACGTTTAAAGTTGAAAAACGTATTTTTGCGAGTTAAAATGAATTATACACTTATATTTTTCATATATCCACTAACACTTGACTAATTCGTTTTTAGAAATTTTTTTATATTAGATGTTGCAAAAATAGCTTTATTTCAATATTTAAATCATTCTTTAATTTTATTAATTTTGACAATAACAAAATGGTTGTGAATGTCAAAACATCGGTGTTGCCGTACTAATATATTTTGCAAACGAAGAAAAATAAAATTAACAGAGAGATTGTATCCTAGATACAGGAAACAACGCTAAAAGAATTTCTGCGCGTAAAAACTTTGGTACACTCCGGTGTTGGATCGACCAGAGTTATTTTTTTTTTAAGCGCGGCCGAAGGCCGCCAACGCAAAAAGGAGTTCTGCGCAAAAAAACCTTGATACACCCCGGTGTTGGACCGACCAGGGTTATTTTTTTCTGCGCAAAAAAACCTTGATACACCCCGGTGTTGGATCGACCAGGGTTATTTTTTTGAAGCGCGGCCGAAGGCCGCCAACGCAAAAAGAAGTTCTGCGCGAAAAATATTTTGATACACCCCGGTGTTGGACCGACCAGGGTTATTTTTTTGAAGCGCGGCCAAAGGCCGCCAACGCAAAAAGAAGTTCTACAAGAAAAAAGTAATATTGTCATAGAGTATAACTCATTCGAAATGGGAAAAATGCGTACTTTAAATAGTCGAAATTTTGAACTTTAAACCCAAATATCTCGAAAACTATAAGTTTCCTGCGGCTATATCTATATATATTCTTGATCTGTAGGATCTCCTCTATCCGCCCATACCCATTTTATCCCCGAAAGCGTGGGACGTTATACTAAAGTTTTCCCATCAATTTAAAAACTGCACATGTGCACAGTGTTTATTTAGTTTTTAGTAATGATATTTAAATAATACTTGTTAACTTTAAACGAAAAAAATATAAGGAACAAAACCAGGCAATGCACTTACATATGCATATATTTAGGGATCATTGTTATAAGAAATAAAATAAACTTAGGGTACAAACAAAAAATTATATTGTATACACTAGGTAGAAAAAGTCTCCGCTCACCAATCCGTGAAATGTGTTTCAATAAAAATATTTAAAAAATATATGCGTTTTTGAAGTTCTTTTCAGAATATCAGATGCGCATGCTAATAGCATTACAGTCGCCAAATTTCATTGAATTCCTATGTGCGTTTGCAAAGTTAGCGGAATTTTTTGAATTCTACTAATGGAGAATAAGCAGAAAAAGGATCCAATCGCTGCTAATTACATTAGTTTATTGTAGTTTTTACGCGTTTAAGACCTGATAATTTTTTGTGCATTGTCAATAATACAGATTTATATAATCGAAGGAAAAATCTGCATTTTGTGAGTAAATTTTTCGAATTATTCAGCTTTAATCGAAATTAGTGCAAAAAGCAAACAAATAAGTGTTGGTAAGCGGAAAATAATATTAAAATTAAGGGAGGACGGTAAAAGCTTTCGTGAAATTGGACGAGTTGGCAACAGAACGGAGTAATCAGTGCGATACGTCATCCAAACTTTAAAAAAAAAAAGGAATTATTACTTCAAAGCCTCGATCTGGACGTCCGACTGATCGGGAAACACGCAAAGTTGTATCTCTTGTGAAGGTTAATCCGCGTTTAACCAAATAGCGCTTCCCAAATAGCAAAAGATGTAAAAATACGATTTAAAAAAACAATATGCAGCGACACAGCAAGGAAAATATTAAAAAGTAGTATATTTGGAAAAAAAAGGAAGACAGATGGTGTGGCGAAAACTGTTACGGTCTTTGAAGCGCGAAATCTTACTTCAACCGTAAAGCATGGTGGGGGTGGAGTTCAATTGAGGGGGTGTATGGCAGCAAGTGGAGTTGGTGGCATTGAGTTTATCGAAAATGTAATGAATAAATTTGTTTATCTAAATATTTTAAAACGACAAATAAAGCAAAGTGCTGACAAATTAGGATTGATAAACGTATTTAGTTTCCAACAGGACAATGACCCTAAGCATACAGCGGAAAATGTTCGCCTTTGGCTTCTTTACAATGCTACAAAATAGCTACATTCACCTCCACAATCACCTGACCTCAATCCAATTGAGCATTTATGGGCTCTATTGGGGCGCAGAATTCGCACACATACGATTACCAGCAAAGAAATTCTCAAGACCGTTTTATTGGACGAATGGAGTAAAATGTCAGCCCAGGATACGAGAAAATTAGTACATTCCATGCCTAAACGTCTAGCAAAAGCTCTAAAATTTCAAGGCTACCCCATCAGCTATTAAACTCTTTATAATTACTTAATATAATATTATTGTGTTCTGTTTAAGTTAATTGTTTTTAAAATGAAAATGAATGTGTCTTTTGTTTATTGAATAATTTGGAAAAAAAGGTAAACTTTTTTAAGCGAAAAGATATGATTTAATAACACATACAAAAAATTTCTTAATTGGTCAATTGGTCAAATGGTTCAAAAGATACAAATTTCGATATCATTGTTTACAGCCTTAAAATGTTAATTTAGGAAGTCTGTAATTTGTTTGTAGGGTAAGTGTGCCAGCTATCGGACACTACTCTTGTTTTGCATTTAAGCTAAGAAAACCGTTCAAACTACCATGCTTAGAAAAAATTCAATTGATTTATAACTGTATATTAAGCATAATTTTTTGATAATTGTATCGGAAAAATGTCTGAGTTTTCTTTCAAATTGGATCCCCAATCATATTTGACAATGAACAAGAAGACATCATTGTTTCCTGGATATGGAAGTTGTGCAAATTTGGGTGTGCTATTAAAAAGGACGATATTCTGAACACGGTCCAAAAAGTAATGTTGTTGGGGCGGCAGAATGCTGCCGAGTTGACAGTCCTTGGCCGGATAAAAATCCAGGTCCGTTGCGGTTACCAAGACCCAACTGTTGCGGAAAGTCCAGAAAGTAATGTTGTTGTTGTAATGGTCATCTAGTCCTCGCTTGGATGATAAGTTATAGTTTGGTTATCGTCGAGTTCATTTAACGGGAGGCCCAAGAAAAAAGCTGTTTCGACGGGGTAGGACTATAGGGAAAAGGGTGTTAGATGAGTTGGGTTTGTTGGGCATGCAAGGAGGTGGTCAGGCGGAGACACATTGCACGCAGGACATATGTTTGGAATGTCGGGGTCTATTCTGTATAAGTAGGAGTTTAAAATGCTACAATATGCAGAACGAAGTTGCGCAAGGGTTACTCTAGATTCACGAGGCAACTCGAGCGTTACGTCTGCGATAGGGGGTGGTTTGACTCCTAGTCTAATGTAACGTCTAAAATTGTAGGGTTATTGACTGTTGAAATTTTTGTGCCATCGACTGAAATGTTCACATTCAGTCTGTACTCCTTCGTCCAGTTTGTGAAAATGGTCGCTGTGGATTTGGTGGGGAAGAGTGTCAGACTTCTTGCAAGGAAGAAGCGAGAAAAGTCGGAGAGGTAGCTGTTTACTTTCGAGCACATGTCATCGATTCCATTGCCCGACGTCAATATCGTGCAGTTATCAGCATAAAAGTTCACGGAAATTCACGCTGGTGTTTGGGAGTTTCGAGATGTAGAAATTAATAAGTAGTGGGGAGAGGAAACCACCTTGCGGAACCCCCTGTTGAATTCTTCTAAGTTTGGAGTTTTGACCTCGAAACAGTACGATGAACGCCGACCGCTCAGGTAGTTCATAGTCCACCGGTTCAGCCCTGGAGGAAGCGTTGATTGTTCTAGGTCCTTAAGTAGCGTTGTGTGATTGACTGTCAAAAGCTTTCGACAAGTCCATCGCTACGAAGATCGTCCTCTCGCAGGTCTTGGGCGATAATACCCCTCTGTTGGTGGGTTTCCCAGGTTTCAGTAGTGGGACCACTCTTCCGACTTTCCACACATCGGGTATTTGAAGAGTGGACATCGACAAGTTGAGGACCTTGGTGAGGTAGCTTACTCCCGTCGAGCCTAGATGTTTTAGCATCATCCGTCAGGCCAATGGGTTTAGACGATTTGGCCTTTTTGATGACAGTCTGAACCTAGCCATCGGGGAAAGTAAGTGGTGCGCAGTCTTTTGGCATTTTGCGCAGTCGTCGGGTAACACATCGTATGGCCTTGTCGGTCGAAGGGTGCAGTGTAAACTGCCGCCTAAAATAGTTCGCGCACTTCTTCGGGTCCGAGGAGGTATGTTCATCGAATTGGATTTCAACCCGGTCGTAATGTCTCCTCGGATTAGACAAGGCCTTGACAGTAGTCCAGAGCTTACTCACACCGGTGGAGAGATTGCAGGACTTCAGGTGCTCTATACATTTTCTCCGCTTATGTAGATTCACCATTTGTTGAATCTTCAAATTGAGATCCCTTCTTCGGGGATCACAGGGATCGGCATGGCGTAAGGTATCGCGCTCGTTTGCTAATACAGCTGCTTCGGCTGGGAAATAAGGGCGGAGTTCCGCGATTCTTCCAGCCGGAATGAAGCGAGCAGTAGCAGCAGCGATCACCCAGCGGAATTGACGCTCGCCAACGATGACGTCCGTAGGAATGGGTAGTGCGTTGAAAGTGCTCTCAGTAAATTCAGTGAAGCCGAAAGAGTTAGCTTTGTTAAAGTTAATAAAGGAGCGCTTGTCCATAGAAATAAAGTCAGGAGGTTTCTCGATCGAGATAATTATGGGCAGATGGTCTGATGCGAGAGTTAGCATAGGTCGCCAGGTTATGCTACTTATCAGACCACCGCTAGCGATGGAAATATCAAGCGAGCTAATACAGGTAACGGCAGAATTCTGCCGAGTTGACAGTCCTTGGCCGGAATAAATCCGGGTCCGTTGTGGTTACGTAGACCCGACTGTCGTGGGAACGGTACAGGTGCTCATATCTCATGGGGGCTTCGTCCTTCATTGTGCAGAAACGTGTAAAGATCGTGGTGCGCGTCAAAGTCGCCTAGCACCAAACGGGTTTCATCACGAAGAAGCGCACCTATGTTCGAGTGATATTCTGTTGGGCAACATGTAACTAAGGGGATGTATATATTAAATATCTCGAGCTCGACATCGCCTGACCGGACATCGATACACTGACATTCAAGAGTATTATTCCTGCGGTCGATGTCACCATCGATTAAATGATATTGCACGGTGTTGTGCAGTATGAAGGCTCCACCATCATCTCGCTCGCGATCCTTAAGCAAAACGTTGAAACCTGCACAACTCAGAAGATCTGAGTGGCTGTTTAACTTGGTTTTTTGGACCGCAGCTATCGATCTCCTCGATCGTACTCTGGAGTCCGTTGCAGTTAAATTGTAAAATTCGCGTTTCTCGCCGGTGTCCGATTGTGATCATTGGGGTGAGGGAGGTACGTGTAGGTGATGGTTGTTGCAGCTGTAATATCCGCATGGGCGGTTGTCGCACTATGGTGTTGTTTGACGACGCCACTAAATGGGAATGCAGGGCAGACTCCTACAGCATGCGGCAACATACGACGCACTCCACTCACGTGTGCTGCGCAGGCCGGAACACGACAGTGCAAGAATTGCACTTAACTGATGTGACATTCCGGCGTATTATGGTCTGACACACGGAACAGACTGTGTGAGGAACCAGGAGTTGCTGAATGGTCCGAGTCAATTCCGGTAACGTAGAACCGGCTGTTGTGGGAATTGTCCAGAAAGTAATCAAAGGCAGGTAAGGAAGGCCAGGCAGAAAGGGTTTACGCTATTCCCAAAACGTAATCCTGGATTGTCATTGAGAGATGTTGAATTAAATTAGAAATTGATTTTCCGAGCTGCATAGCACAACCTAGTGACCTATGCTAACTCTCGCATCAGACCATCTGCCCATAGTTATCTCAATCGAGAAACCTTCCGACTTTATTTCTGTGGACAACCGCAACTTTGTTAACTTTAACAAAGCTAACTGGGTCGGCTTCACAGAATTTACCGAGAGTACCTTCACCGCACTACCCATTCCTACGGATGTCATCGTTGGCGAACGTCAACTCCGCTAGGTGATCGCTGTTGCTACTGTTCGCTTCATACCGGCTGGATAGAGCATCCGAAGTCCTGCAACCTCTCCACCGGTGTGAGTTAGCTTTGGACTACTGTCAAGGCCTTGTCTAATCCGAAGAGGCATGACGAACGAGTTGAAATTCAATTCGATGGCCATGCCTCCTCGGATCCGAAGAAGTGCGCGATCCAAAAGACCGCGCACCACTTCCTTTCACCGATGGGAAGGTTCAGAGTGCCATTGGCCCTGATGGAATAAGCATGCTGATGCTAAAACAGACCATAAGCTTGGCTTCAGAAATGGGCACAGCACCACCACAGCACTTAGCGTCATAAATGCCCAGCTAGTTTATGGCCATAATCAACTCTGCGAGAGGACGATCCTCGTAGCGTTGGACTTGTCAAAAGCCCAGTCAACCACACAACGGTACTTGAGAACATAGAACAATCCACGCTCCCTCAAAGGCTGAAGCGGTGAACTATGAACTACCTGAGCGGTCGGCATTTATCCGAACTGTTTCGAGGTCAAAATTCCAAACTTAGAAGAATTCAACAGGGGGTTCCGTAGGGCGGTGTTCTTTCCCCGCTACTGCTTAATTTCCATTGTTCGAAACTCCCCCAGCCATGACTGCACGATGTTGATGTCGGGCAATGGAATCGATGACATGTGCTCGAAAGTAAACGGTTATCTCTCCGACCTTTTTCGCTTCTTCTCTGCAAGGAGCCTGACACTCTCCCCAACTAAATCCACAGCGACCATTTTCACAAACTGGACGAAGGAGGACATACTGGATTTAGACATTTCAGTCGATGACATTAAAATTCCGACAGTCAACCTAAAATTTTAAAAAAAGTACAGAGCCGCAACAAAATCCTCAAATCGCTTGCCGAAAGCTCTTGGGGAAAAGACAAATAAACGTTGTTGGCAACATGCAAGGCAATCGTCCGGCCGGTCCTAAACTATGCATCAAGAATATGGTCGCCTGGATGTAGTGCAACGCAGACGAAGAAGCTTCAGACTTGTCAAAACCCTGCATTCCGGACTATCATGGGATGCCCCTTGACGTCCCCAATAGAACACCTGCACAGTGAGGTCCTAATGCTTCCGGTTAAGGAACATAACGAGCTCCTCTCCAAGCAGTTTCTGCTGGGATGTTTTCGCAGAAATTACCCCTGTAGTCGTCTGCTTGAAGTGGAACCGCCTCCTAGGAACATCAAGAGGTCCTTCCTTGATTACGTCGACGACATCAGACAGTACGCCGAACGGACTTCGGACGCAACGAACTTTAGACAAGCACTGACCGCCATTCACAGTAAACTTCTTCCTTCACCGACTCCATCGCATTGAATGGCATACTAGGATTCAAACCACCACCCATAGCAGACGTAGAGCTCGAGTTGCCTCGAGAATCCAGAATGACCCTCGAGCAACTTTGTTCTGGATATTGCAGTAGGTTGAACGCCTACTTATTTAGAATCGACCCCGACATACCCAATATATGTCCTGCATGCAATGAGTCTCCGCATGACACCTCTTTGCATCCATCCCTATGGTCCGACCCCGTCGAAACAGCTCGTTTCCTGGGCCTCCCGTTAGATGACCTCGACGACAACCAAACTATAACTTACCACCCAAACGGGGACTGGATAACCGTTACAACAACAAAAAAAAAAACATGTGCAAAGTGTGTAATTTTTTGTCAAAATTATTTTTTTTTTTCAAATTAAAAATTATGACTTTCCGGAATTTTTTTTCAATTCCTAAGAACGGTTCAAATAATAAAAAAGCATTAGAGTATATAAATATTATATTTTTATTTGTCTTAAACATATAGGCCAGAGATAAATTTTACCTCATTCCTATAAATAAATATATATATTTTTTAGAAAACAGACATAAGTGAATGTATATGTAACTTTTAAAATGTTCTTAATATAATTTATATATCGGAAGTACTTAAATTAAGGACACATTACTACATTTCTAGGATAATACCATTTTCTTAACTACTCATCCTTAAATTCAAGTTGGTTTTGTAGCCAAAATAGCAAACTGATAGTAAACTTTCAAAGTAATTAATGCAAAGTGTTAAGATGTTTCGATTGTTAATCCTTAAGGCAATATTGTGTCGAATATCCGCAAGTAATTATAAATCATCAGGTCCCAATAGTTGCGCACATTAGACACCCTCACCTATTATAGCATACAAATACAAAACGAATACTTTTCATTAATTATTTTTGACAGACTACCATGTTGTTTCGAATTTAATAATTAAAAACGCTAAACAAAAGACTTGAAATATTTACTTACATACAAATCTTATATTTAATAGTATTACTTATGATAAATTTAAAGATTTTAACGATCCAATTTACAAATCATATTTTCTATTTGCTAATAATTGTACTTCCATAAAGGAGTTTCCGTCAAATTTATAACTTAAGGCAAGAACTATATACTTCCATTTGTTGGTATACTCGTTTATCAAAATCATCGGAAGTGTAATTAATTTATATAACTCATAATTCATCTTAATTGCCTTTTGAAGTTTTCGGGTTTGCCGCTATCAAACATTAGATAAATCCGTTTCTCCAACTCTATTATTTCCTTGATGTTATGTGCCAAAATAGTGATCAACTTTTGGGCGCTGAACACCTCATATTCGATTTTTTTGGCAAGGTCGTTGTCGTTAATGATCGCATATTCACTTTCATTCTAGTATCCAGTGTCAGTGCTTATCGAAGTTTTTCGTTTAATGTCTCGTTCAAAAGGCATTTGGTTAGTCGCATATTCATCAATATAAAAAGCTATGGAAATAATAACATACAATTCAAGATATATAAATATATAGTTATTGGAAAACATGATATTTATAAATTAGTTATGAGTTTTGTGCAAAATCTACAGATTAATTCCACAAACAAATTCTACTTAGTGGATGGGCGGAGCAAATATACTAAGTGTGCAAACGAAATAGAACAAACAAGTCCAGTTGAGTTATACTGAAATTTTAATACCCAATGTGTATACGTTATCTGATTCGAAAACATTGTTAAAAAATTCAATAAGATTTTACGTACAAGCGCTGAACTAAATACTTGGCAGTTATTTTTATAGTTCACTGCTATTTTATTATTTCTTTTTTTTTGGAATCCGTTTCTGGCAGAAATAGACAAATTGGTTAAAAACAAAGTAGTCAAAAGGGGAATTGGCCGACAGCTTTTGCAACATGTTAATATTGATAAATAAATTTTATTGTATTTTATCTTAAAAATACTTTATTCATAAATACTAGATTGTAACCACAAATTCCCCCTGCGGGTAGGGGTAAGAATTTACCCGCGGTAAGGCATGCCTGTCGTAAGAGGCGCTAAAACCCAAATGCACTATGACTGTTATTTTATTTTGCCCAGAAATATCAGCATAGTAAATGATGTCTGAAATAGTGCTATAATATTCAGCTTGAACTGATATTATAGACTTTAAACGAGATTCCAAATAAAAAGACATTTGAAGTTCAAGCGACAAATGTCACCAGTCATTGAGTAAGGCGGAGCTCAACTGGCAATAGCTTCGGCTACACAGTCTTACCGGAGACTCAACTCTGGTACCACGGTCAGCAGAATGCCCTAGGACTTCGGTTCAATCTGCTCATTGGGTTCGGCCCTTTGGGGAGTATCGTGGTGGCTGTGGTTTAAACCTAAATGCTGGAAGAAAAGAATTTTCAGTTCAAAAAAGAAGTTGCACAAGCAACTGGGGTCCGTACCTGAAAACGGAAGAGGTTTTAGTTCGGCCTCGAATCCTACCAAGATGGTCAGTGTGCCGCTACACAATGGCCACTGGTATCCAAATTAATACTTGCAAATAGCTCGTATTATTTGGGGCGCTTATCAACGCATTGTTTTGATACGTTGTGCTTTGGAGCACCGTGAGCTAAGGCCGTCGACGGAAGGTACTCACGTAAAACACACCGGACGTTATAGCCACATATTAATTTTAGCGTACATTCGTTCAAGTGCTTCACACATTGGGTATCGAAAATCGATCAGATAAACTAGATTTTAGCCCCTGGATACTAATATACCATTAGTCAGTAAAGTAGCTTAGCTTCCTGATTAACATTAAAAGTATTTCCCAATTTGAATAGAAAAGAAAGATGATAGACGATTAAAACAAACTGAGTGAAAATTATATATTTCAGTTATCAACATAACTAATAATGATTTTATACTTTCTACAAATGCAAACAGTTAGTAACCAATTACAAACGATAACAAAACAATCTAAAGTTCATAGAAAAGACAAACTTTTCAGTTTTGCTCAAAATCTGTTGTTTGGAAAAATTTACCTCTGTCCATCATTTATTATTTTATATTTTTGATAGAGATATTGTCAGCACAAATTTAATAATTTTGGTATCGTAATCATTTCTTTTAAAAAATATCTTCACGAAATTCTGGTTTGCTGGGTATAACTTGTACTGTAAAAGAAAAAATGCAACAAAAATGAAGAAATTTTCTTAGTTAAATTATTTTATACTTGATGATAATGATTTCGCGAATATGACATTCCATTCTGAAGTTCCATATAAGTTATAAAGCTAAAATTAGTACTTGTAATAAAATTGAAACGAATATTATATTAACATAATCATTTAATGCGCGTTTTACCATTTTATACGTTATAAATGAACTTCAGATATAGGATATATATACACTATTTGCTGCTCTTACCAGACTCTACTCCATTCCATTCACTAACTACATTATGATGATGCTGATGAGGGTTTGGGTGATCTTCAACAATGCCTTCAAATAATTTTGGATCGACCGCTAGTTTTTCTTCTTCATCAATTTCAAATATTTCGGTAACTTTAACCTGTAATAATAGATATTTTAAACAAAATTTCATATTGTAATATTTTTACAAAAATGCTTACTTTATTTGTAAGATCGTCGGTATAGTAATAAGCATAAAGCGCATCGTTATGAGTAGTTACTTTGAGAACATGTTCATAGTTGTCCACATCTCCTTCTATTGAAGGAGCACCACTGGAATAAATTCATAACTTTATTATACTCTATCTAGAAAAAAAACTTATAATTGTTGTAGGACATTTTGATGTTTAAGTTCTCATTGCATTTAGCAACTTTACACACTGCAACTTAAAATTGTTGAAATTGTAGCTTCATTTGGAATAATCATTAACAAAGAGAGAGAGAATAAACATTATCATAAAAGCATCTACAAAAATATTTAGTATTGCTTTCAAGCTCTTAAGCATATACATATGTAATACGACTAGTAGATCCAGCCACGCGTTGCTGCAGCTATGGTACATTAACCACTAAAGATCAAGACGTTATTGCCGGTATAAGAATTTAAGGGATTAGCCTTCTGAATACTGGTCTGCTGCAACAGGCCAATTCTCCATTATACAGTCAGTAGGTGCTTCAAGAATATATATATTAGAATCGGTGATCTTTTTAATGATCAAAGGTTTTTTCCATCAGCACTACCGAAACGTGTATCGTGTGTGTTTAAATCTTTCATTGTTCTGTGCAATGCTTCTTGTGATTGTTGAGGTATGATTTTTTTCTCGGCATTTAGCATTTTAGTCAACATTTTTATTTTATTTTTTTCAATTTTGAACACATGCTTATGTAGAAAATTTTCTTTATTTATGAAAATTTTTTTGACTTTCGACATTATAGAGATGACGTGACAAGTATTATTTAATGGACATGTGTACAATGCGTTGAAAAAATAAGGTTTAACATTTGCCCGATCATTTCGCGGAAAACGGTTTTAATGTGTCACGTCGTGCCGTGAAATAAGAAAAATGAGTACTAATTTTAAGATACGTGTTGAAGCTTTCTAAAGAAAGGCTTGAAGCCTTTCTAACGAAGCATACTAAAGGTCCCAAATGGACTATTAATAAAACAGCATAGTGGTTATATACGAGTTGTACAATTTTGAAGAGGTGGTCTGACCATAATAAAAAAACTGGAGACGTAGATGACAAGCCACGAAGAGATATGAATCAAGTGACATCTAAAAGTGAGGAAAACGCTATTGTTTCCTTTTTGAAACGAAACTCACTGCTCAGTTTGATAGAAGCTAAAAATTCTTGTTTAAAAATGAATTAGATATATCTCTAAATATCCTCAGAGATCTGGCTTCAAACGCAGCAGTACTGTAATTAAACCCTTACTTTTCAAATACTGGAAAATGGTTGCACTGGGCGCAGGAAAATATCAACCGTGATTGGAGCATTGCAATATTCACAGATGAATCGGCAAAAATAACCATGATTGGATACTGTAAGAAGACAATGATTTGAAACATAGGAGCAGACTCTGTACTCAATGGCAGCAGGAAAACCATTTGTTATTTTAGATTGGCCATCAGAGTCACCAGACGCCAAAACAATAGAGAATGTTTGGGCTTTAATGAAAGCCAAAATATTAAGAATATATATATGTACCTGGAGGTCGCTTTCTGTGCAATATGCGGAAAATTTAGCTGTAAGTTGCCATTAAAAATGTCAGGCTATAATGGAATAGACGTCAGCTATTTCAAAATAATGTATAAATACAACATTTTTCGCAATAAACGCTACCTACACTTTGGAAAACGAAAACGCTATTCTTTGAAAGCACTCTATATAGATAAATATGTTTTTGAGGAACTTACCATTCATCAACTAATATTGATACTCTTGGTCCGTATAGACGTTTCGAATGCAGTAAGCCTGTCGTATCAAAATGCGGCGGTTCACAGATCTATTTAGGAGAAAAACATTAAAATGTTATTAACCTAGTAGTAATTTTTAATAAATTTAACTTACCGTGAACTTGTTTAGAATGTGGGTCTGTACAGTTTCATTTAACCTTCTTAAAATATTTTCTATCCTGCGGCGAATGTGTTTGCCTAATTTTGGTGTGAGTGTAGTAATCCTATGAAGCAGAGATAAATGAGGAGTTTGCATAGATAGCGAAAACAAAAATGATACGGCGTTAAATTTTGAATTTACAGTTCATTACTTTTTTTTTTTTTTGCCCTTATAGATTACGAAAATTCAAATAATATGAAAGGATAGTTAAGCAGAAGTAAGTTTCCAAGCCAATTTGGTAAGGCAATGAAATTTCGTCTGTTTCGTTATTTCTTATGCAAAATTTCATGTTCTTGCACTTGGAATGAACAACTTTGCATCTCTTGAACGTGTTTATTTTTTTTACGATATTTGTCAATTTTTTCTATATATATGTTTACAGATTTATATGATAAATGAAAACACATTATATACATATACAGGTGCATCTAAATAGAAGATGCCAATGGAGCACGACTAAATACATATTTTACAATTAGGTTCGAAAATCGCGATTTATATTGGTTACGTTAGGAAAGCTAAATGAAAGTATGAAGTGGAAGTAATCTATTTAGAAGACTAACATAGGATTCTAATGTGATAATGTTATCCAAAATAATAATCTATAAAAATTTCAAAATGTATTAAATTATTTTAAGTATTTATGACTCACATTTTTATATGAACAAATACAAATACAAGAAATAAATCAAGGAGTTAAATGAAATTCGTAAATAATTGAAATAAGTTTACCGTACATTTATCTTTGATGTTGCTCTGTAATTAAACTGTAAATATTACACATCTGTAATTGTTTACGCCTTTTTTGTTTATTATACAAAGTATAATATTTATGTGGTATTTTACTTTCAATCAACTAGTTTTTAAGTAAATAATTATACTACATTTACTAAACATGCAAGTTTTACTATGTTAAGCGCTCGCAAATGTCTTCCCAAATGGCTTTGGAAGCTGCTTCACTGTTCTAGAATTAAATACAAAATTAAAAAAAAAAAATTATATTATATTTATCGTATTAAAGTTTAAAAACAGATGAGCAGCAAATATTTTTTAATGATAACATTCATTTTAACATAATCTAAAGCGTAATAACTATTAATTCCGTCTACCAAGTTGTATTATTATTGAGCTCCAAACCCATAATTCTATTCCTCAAATGTACGTTTTATGCGTATGTATGAATTAATTATAATTATTGTAATCGTAATCTCTAATTTCAACGGGCTTGTGTCAAATCTGAATAAAATCTATTACAAAAATACAAAAAATATACATACAATGAACCAAAAAAGCTTGTGCAGGAAGATGTTTTGACTTAGAGAAATGACTTACTCCTAAAATATAGAAACTTATGAGTTGCCGTTTTATTGATTTTCAAAAAATCATTAAAATTTATTTTTAAAAATCCAGCTTTCTCCAAAAAGTTCAGAAATCCAAGGCTCCGTTTTCGAAAACCTTGCATTAATTAACATTACAACACTCTTAAAAAAAATTAATAGAATGCGCCAATTTTTGTATGAGTTCAAGAGGTATATTTGCCATATTTCCTCTCTTCCCTTTGTTTCAATGGATTGAGGTCTGGACCCAGGAGAGGATGCAGCTGCACTTCTTTCAAGTTGCACAACAACCATTTCTTAACCACTAAAGCAGAATGATTCGGGTCGTTATCCAAAACAAAGCAGCAATCACCATTTGAAATTAGTTTAGCTGCTGACGGAGTCAAATTATTTTTTAATATTTCCAAGTTCATTCTTTTCATAATTCCTTCGATGAAAACTAGGTTGCCAACACCATTTGTTCACATTGCATTCCATTTGTTTCATGCTTGACAGTATTATTTAAATTTTTGTCTTTAAGCGTTGACTTCCTTCCATCAGTGTCAAATATATGTTATTAAATTTGGAATATAGTAAACGTTTCGCAATATTTCTCTTCGATAAGATTGGCTTGTTTCGTCACTAAGAACAGTTTGAGGTGGACTTTTGCAATGCCAGCTTCTTCCAACTTTTTGACGATAGCAACATCGGGTATTTTGGAGTGTTCCTTGAGTACTTTTGTTCTCTTGCCATTATTTGACTACCAAGCCTTGTAAATCTTGAGATGTTTGCTTTTTCACCATTTTTTCTTCAAAAACTACAACCGCAAAAAAGAAATTCGCTTACCAAATAATACAGTTTGATCACACGCAAGTAATAGCAGACAAAAATAACGATACCTATTAGATAACTGTATTTAAAGTGTTGTCAACGTAAGTGTACAAGGTTTTTTCCCGCTTGGAAGTAATATGTTTTATTTATTTTTAATGGTTAACATCAAAATTGATTCAAAATTCAAATTTATAAAAAAAAAAAATACATAAGATTCACATTATTTCTCTTGGTTGCAGCATAAAAGCTGAAAAAATTTAAGAGAAAAGTCACTTCAAAGTCAATACATCTTTCTGTTCAAGTTGTTTTTATTCACTGTATATATAGGAAAGTGAATAACTTACTTTGAAACTGTTGCCATGAAGAAGTCTAAGGGCACTGTTGCTGGCAATGACAAAAGTTTTATTCCACGATGTCTGAATATCCAATTCGCCAGTCCTTTATTAGCTTGCTCTATATAATCCTGAATGACATCCAATACAGTTTGTGGCATGTTTGAGCTTAAAGCGTCCTAAAATGACATGCACAGTTATAAAATAAATTTTATTCGCCCTATAATTGTAATATAGTGATGTACTCACATTTCTATGCTTTTTGCACTCTCTACACTCAGGATCAAAGTCCTGTGGTTGTGCCACGGTTTCTGATACTACAAATGTTGATTGTACCGCCACACAACGGCGACAGTTTATTAAATTATTACGATTAAGAAACTGCATCGCGTCGTCGAAACCCTGCTGACAGAATTTCGAAAGAAATTCTGGACGTGGTGGAAATAGTATACGAACAAAACGATTCACATTCTGTCGTGATATTTCAATACTCGTATTTGCCCAATTCAAATGGAAAAGTTGAGAACTTTGATCACGTGGACAAATATCACTTTCTCCGCAGAAAGGACTCACGGTTATTGTGTTCTCATCTAGTATTGGCAAATTGTCTGAAAACGCTCCATCCATATAGCGTACTCCTCGAAAACGAGGCGGAAATATTCCAGAAAAGCCTGGAATAAAGCATGCACACAAAAGGGCCTGTAAAAGCTCGTCACGTGACTCAAATTCCGAGACGATGACATTTTTGCCATCATGCACTCGTGTTAAGGAGATATGCAAACGTCCACTGACGCGTTTGTGCGCATCTTCAGGCAAATGTTTTTGTAAGCCCTCAAATAGGCAAGTCTGTATATTGAATGAAGGGCTAAAAGGTCCGAGAGAATAACGGCGAGCTTCGTTAACTACACGGAAAAAGTCAGATGTCATGCTGCCTGCAATAATACGTAAAATAAAAATAAAGCTTTATCAGTTAATTTACTCTTGTAAAATTACAGTTCGCATTGGAATTTGGATTAGAAGCTAATATTGCTCTGTTATAAACAATTCAATCTTAGCAAGCAATTGAAACTATTATAATCTAAATCAAATACAAATATCTGTGTAATATATTACTTTTGTTACTATATTTATATCCAAGTATGTAAGTGAAAATATAAATTTTTTTCAAGTTTATTTTCTCTTGGCAGTTGTTAACAAGTTGAATTCATAATTCAATTATATAAGGTTGTGTCATGCTTCCGCTTACAAAAAAATATTTTAATCCATCATGATTTTTCTATCTACATTTTAATGATTTTGTCTAATTTACAATCTAGTTATATTTAGTTATCACTCAAAAAACGCATTGTCATTGGTTAAAATCTTTGAAAAATTTATTTTTGATAGATTTTAAACCACAGTAAATAAAAAATGTAAGAACAAAACAAAAAAACCTGAGACATGGATTAGACATGTTTTTCGTAAGAGGAATCCCGCTCCAAAGTAGCACAACCTAGATATGTACCATATATATAATTCAATAATGGTTCAGTTATTTTCAAAATTGGAGCATTAATGATTAACACAAAAAATCGTTAAGATCACAGTTTTACATCCCCATTTGCGGAAGGCTAATGAATTATATTTGCCGTTATTTTTGCGTTGGATACTAAAATCAGATTGTCATTTGCGGAAGTTTAAAGAAATCAGTCTACTTGAAAACGTAGATAACAACCCTGAGTTTACATTTTTAGGAAGCACTGCTCAAAGTATTTGGCAGCATTGCTCAAAAGACAGAAATCGTCAAATGAAATATAAAGAAATGGAAGTCAAGGGCGCTAATAATAATTTTAAATAGCTATGTTTAGTATGATTGAACTAATTTGTACGTTTGTCGCGAATCACGGATAGATGAAGTCCAGATTACGAAATTATCATATTTATATATATTGTAACGGATTTCTCTATAAATCGTCTAACATGTAACGCACTCTTGAGTACGATCACTGGATTATTAAATAAAAGTCCCAATTTAATGCTATACACTTATCTTTATTTCCAATCCCAACAACTTGACGCTTTACTACTCATTATCCGAATTTACAACTCCTTACTTATATCTGAATTGGTCTTTATACGGCAGCACTCTAATTATAACTGTATCTGCTGCACGATCCGGCAGCGCTTATACTTGTTTAGTATTCCTTAACAACACTTCGCCACTAGAACACTCTGGCATTTAAGAATTTCGTTATCTAGTTGTTTCTAGCAAATTTTCGTTGATTTTATTTTGTTCTGGCATATATTACTACATATATAAGATGGTTTAAGAAATGTTATACATATATATGTATACATAATCTGGACCTCTTCTATCCGTATTTTACGACAAAGGTAAGAAATCGTCCCCAGAGTATCTTCTACGGGCTTTGTTGAAGAGTCTTTTGCTTGAAGATCTGATCTCCATTAGCTCCGATGTCCACTAAAGGGGTTTCCCTTTACCTTTCTGAGCTTTCAGAGGAAAAGAACTTTGAAGAGTAGTCTTACACACAGAGCTGAAAACCTCATATTATATACATACGAAAGATTTTAAACAGTTATTAACGACAAAGAATTCCTTTTCTTAATGTTTCATCTGACGATTTGACGATATATGGTACAAATCTGTAAGTATATACATATACAGGTCGGTTGAAAAGTTACTGCGCTCGAAATAAAAACATACTGTTTTTGGAACGAAATATATTTTTTAAATCAATATAATCTTCCTTAACTTCAAGACACTTATTCCAATGATCCTCCAATAATTTTATGCCATCCATATAATTTCTTTCCGGAAGCTCTGCATATCCGTCAACGGCTGTAATAGCTTCTTCATTTGACGAAAAACGCTTTCATCGCAGGAATTGCTTCAGGTTTCTGAATAGATATTAGTCGCTGGGAGCCAATTTGATGAATACGGAGGATGCTCAAGCAATTCGTACTTTAATTCGTTGAATTTTGCCATTGTTAAAACATCTTTGTGATCAGGTGCATTGTGTTGATGAAAAATTATTTCTTTGTACAGCAAACCAGGTCTTTGCTCACGAATTTTTTCATCCAGCTGATCTAAAAGGCTGCAATAATATTCAGAGTTGACTGTTTTACCTTTCTGCAGATAATCAATCAACGAAATTCCTTTTGCGTTCCATAGTTGCCATAAATTCTTTGCAAATCGTTCCGACTTCACCTGCTTTGGAGCTGAACAACCAGCTTCAGTTCACTGTAAAAGTTCTTACATTTAGGATCATGGTGGTAGATCTAAGTCTCATCTATAGTTATAAAAGGCCGCGAGAATTCGGGTTTATTCTGCTTAAAAGCGTCTTCAAGCCTAGTACGACCACGTTTAAATTAACTAGCCCAAAATTCAACGGTGCGTATTGAAGGCGAGGAGTCCTTATACACTTTTAACAATTGTACAAAAATTTCCTTTGCTTTTAAACCTTTCAAAATAAAGAATTTAATCACTGCACAATATTCAATGTTTCCAATTTAAAAAAATACTATGACACGTCAACTTCAAATGACTTGTCAACAAAGAATTGACAGAATGACTTGTAGCTTTGCATGTGTTTTCACGACAGATGTACCAACTTGAAAAAAAAAATGTGGAGCCAGTAATGCTATTTCTTTGTTGACTTATGGTTTTTGAGATATTTGCATTTAAAGTTCAAAAAAGAGGTAATTTAAATTTTAAAAAACAAGGTTCACAACAAAAAATTGTGAAAGTAAATATAATATTACACCAAATTTCTATAGTGTTTAAAGAGCAGCGATTTCTTTGAAGATCAATTTTTTATAAATAAAAAATAAGTACACATATTTTATTTAAAGTTTTTCAATGCATTCAAACTCTAAAATAATGTTGACAACTGCTCTTGAGCAATTTTCAGATATTGACAATTCTACTTAGTATGAGGGTTGATAGTATTCGATCAGTGAAGGAAAGAGGGGAGGGAGATCGGGGACAATTCCTTTCGGGCCCGGTGCTCTGTAGCAATTCTTTCTCCAACAAGTCACTACAATCGTTCCCGGGTCCCGGTTTTCTCTTTACGGCCCTGCAATTGATAGCGGTACCTAGACGATATTCTAGCGTAATGTCCAATTAAGTATTCTGGAAGCGATATTATCGCAATCGTAGTTGCGTAATAGGGATGTTGTAATTATCCTTTTTATATAATCTAGTGTAGACATTAATTATCCGTAATATATCATTTCCTTATTTTATAACATACAAACATGTTTATCTCTGTAAGTGTCATATGGAGACATACTTTGGAGACCTCTGGAAGCATTACAATAATGAATATTCTCAGTTATGGGTCTAAACAAATACATATTACATTTTGGTAGATATCTATATTGTCGCAATACTCATATGAACAGTTACTTAGTACATTGAAAGGAGAGCTCAATTCTCACAACTGATACGAGTGGGGCTCCAAATACATGTCCGTGTCTCTACCAATAAATAAAACTGTGAATAAAGATTGACGCAGATAATATTATTTTAAGTAATTAAGTAATTAATTAAATGTTATGATTGTGGTGAATTATTTTAAATATTTTCTGGCGTCAATGAACTTGAATCATACCTACATAAATATAAATATATGTATTGTAGTTACACATAATTTTCTAGAATCTCTAAAAGATTACTCCTTAAGCGTTTAGCAGCTATACTTTATATACAAGTATACGTACGTACGGGGGTTGCTTTTATATTTCGGGCTTAGAGAACAACAAGAAATGTTAATAATCGAAAATCGCTTTAATGTTTTTAAAAATATTCTCCATTAAGATTTCTTGTTCCCGTTCTGAACGTATAACCGCTTCTTAAGGTGTCGAAAAACGTTGACGTCTTAATTTATTTTTTACTTTCGGGAATAAAAAGAAGTCATTTGGTGTCAAGTCAGGTCTATACGGTGGATGACTCATCAAATTGGTGCTTTGAGTGCTCAAAAATGCCATTGTTTCAGTCGATGAGTGAGAGCTCGCATTGTCGTGGTGAATATTGATAGTTCTTCGGAGGTTGGATTTTCTGATTTCTTGAAAGACAACTGCATACAAATGGTTGTGTAACACTCAGAATTCACTGTTCTGCGTTAATCTAGTGGTATAGTCGTTTTTCCAAAGAAACAGGGAACCATTTGCTTGGAAGTGCTTCGTGAGCGAACAATACCTATACATCATACACAACTCCAAGCTTTGACTGACGTGTGCAGTACCGTTAACTCATCAGTTATTAATCCGATTGCGAATCCCGTAATAAATTCCTTGATGTCTCCAACAAAAGTTGCAACCTCGACGTAAGTATGTGGCTTGCATATAGTACTATACATGTTCTTCCATATCTACCACAGTCACCAAACTTCAATCCAATCGAGCATATACGAGGACTGCTATATATATTTCTGACCTAATAATGAAAATACGAATATTTATCAACGAAAATGGTTTTTTTTCGGTCGATTGCTGTTTTGTTTCGGGCGCATACGCATAGATCCATGATTCGTCACCTGTGACGATCTTATAAACATCTTCTGAAACACCGCAATCGTATTTTTTCAGCATTTCTTTACACCAATCCACACGAGCCTTTTTTTGAGCGATAGTCAAATTGTGCGATATCCAACGAGAACAAACCTTTTTTACGGCCAGGTTATGTTACATGACGGTCTTGCATTATCAGTTCACGTACGACATCGATGTTTTCTGGCACAACGGCTGTTTTTGGACGACCTTCACGGAATTCGTCTTTGAGCGAGCGTCGGCCACGATTGAATTCGTTGTACCAGTTTTTCACAGTGCTATAGGATGGTGCTTCATAGCCATACAAAGATTTTAGTTCATCGATGCACTCTTGTCGTGATAATCCACGTCGAAAGTTGTGAAAAATTATCGCACGAAAATGTTCACGAGTTAATTCCATTTTTTGGCAGAGATGAAATTTTTAATTCCCTGTAAATAAAACAATTCACGATTAAATGACAAAACGTTCTGAGTGATGTTATGCTAAAAAATGTCAAACTTTTGAATGGAAATGTCAGATTGCACCTGGCAACACTTAGTGTTGCCTAGGCCAGCCAGCTATATAGCAGCCCTCGTACTTTTTTCCGTGTGATATAGGGACTGTTTTTAACTTTATGAATTAATGTGCTTTGACCATTCATTGGATTAATGTTATTTGTATTTAAACATATTCCAAATTATAAGAAAAATATGAAATAATCATTTTTTATTTCATAGAAGGCGCCTTTGTCTACTGTGCCAAAACTTTTTTTGGGCCACTGTTTGTATATGTACATAGTATAATAACGGGTCTTTTTTTTAGAGGTATAGAACTTTAAATTGCAATAAAACAACGATGGATTATTCGATTGACATGAATTTTATTTATCCGAAAGATAATCTTGTGGAATTACATTTTAAATATGATTTCGGGCATATGACCGCCACGGCTGGTTCGGATGTAGTCCAATCTGGACGTCCAATTTTCGATGACTTTTTCCAACATTTGTGGCCGTATATCGGCAATAACACGGCGAATGTTGTCTTCCAAATGGTTAAGCGTTTGAGGCTTATGCGCATAGACTAATGACTTTACATAACCTCACAGAAATTAATCTAGCGGTGTTAAATCATAAGATCTTGGAGGCCAATTCACAGGTCCAAAATGTAAAATTAGGCGGTCACCAAACGTGTTTTTCAATAAATCGATTGTGGCACGTGCTGTGTGACATGTTGCGCCATCTTGTTGGAACCACGGCTCCTGGACATTATGGTTGTTCAACTCAGGAATGAAAAAGTTATTAATCATGGCTCTATACCGATCACCATTGACTGTAACGTTCTGGCCATCATCGTTTTTGAAGAAGTACGGACCAATGATTCCACCAGCCCATAAAGCGCACCAAGTCAGTTTTTCTGAATGTAACGGCGTTTCGACATACACTTAAGGATTAGCTTCACTCCAAATGCGGCAGTTTTGTATGTTGACGTAGCCATTAAATCAGAAGTGCGCTTCATAATAAAATAAACGTAGTGCGCGATACGTATTCCGCACAGAACCACTATTTTCGAAATAAAATTGCATTATTTGCAAGCGTTGTTCAGGCGTGAATCTATTCATGATGAATTGCCAAACCAAACCATTGTATAAATCTACAAGTAGCCAATCCTAAGATTTTCACTAAGACATACGCAAAAATATCCCACTTGGCTTGCCAACCAATATTCTGCTACTAAAATCACACTTTGTACGGGTTGCCAACCAATATTCTACTACTAAAACGTTCAAATGACAGAAATCTGCCGTGTTTTGTTTTAAAATTAATAACTTTAAGAATGTTTTTATTCCATATTTAAATATTTTTCGGTTGTTTTAATTCCTAAAGATTAAATTTACATAGTATTATTTAAATTATTATTTATTGTATTGAAATATTATTAAATGTTTCCAATTTTATTTTTTAACTTACATGTTTATGTTTTTGTGTTACCGGTTTAGTCCTGGGGAAACAAACACCCAAAAAAGATCGGTAACGCGCCTATATTGCAACCTCAGAGGTGGTGAGGAAAAGCAATGGGAAAACTTTAGTTTAGCATACCACGATTTCAGGGTTAAGAGGGGTATGGTTGGATAGAGGAGATTCTCCAGATCACGAATATATATAATTATTGCCGCCGGAAACTTATAGTTTTCGAGATATTTCCATTTTAAGTGCAAATTGTTAAGCTACAACCTTTATTTTAAAACTCTGTATCAAAAAAGGCATATTAGATCAGGTGATCACGGCTGTTTCACACACATAGGAAAACAGCTGATTCTTTGGCTACTTGTAGGCTTATACAATGAACCAAACTAAGAATAAATCACTTGACAGCTGTTAAATCGGTTGCCATCATGAACAGTAATGCCAACTTAAAGTTCTATACCTCGAAAAAAAATACCCATATATCGGATATGTTCCTATCTTGCTCACGAATCACCAAGCACTACTTAACATTAGGTCTAGTAAAAGTAGCGTTGTATAATGAGATTGGGTTACGCAATATGGCGTTAGAAAGATAAGATTTCGCAGTAAAAAATATTTTCAGGGAGATTGGCGATTGTTTAACACAGTATTGTTTAAATACGAGTCAAAAATGGACCAGCAAAGTGAAAATGTGCCATATTTACATTTTTTTTTGATGCCTTTGATGCAAGCTAAGCGGTTGAAAATGTGAATAGTGTTTACGGTCCTGTAGGCGTCAATCTTGAGCAATTTCGGTTTAAAGTAAAATACCTCATGGACCGAATTTCCATCTGCCAATCGCTGCTGAATCGGTTACTAGTGATGAACAGTGGGTCACTTACGATCACGTCAACCGAAAACGGTCGTGATCGAATTTCGGTGAGCCGGACAGACGATGACCAGGACAGACTGTCAGAAAGGTTTTGTTATAGGATTAGCAAGAAATTATATACTTTGAACTCCTCCGATACAGCCAAACTCTTAATTCGGATTTGTACTGTCAACAATTGGAACGTCTGAAGTAAGCAATCGCCCAGAAGTGGCCAAATGGAGAGGAATTGTGTTCCATTGGGACAACGCATCAAGTGATTACTATCTGTTTCTGTCTATGTCGAATGATTTTGTTGGTGAAAAATTTAAATCTAGAGAAACTTATGAAAATCGAATATTGCTGTTTTTGCCAATAGTGACGAGTGTTTCTATATTTGCTTATTCAAAGTATACATACATGCAACATCCGTTCCCTCGACAGTCGGGTCTAAGTAACCGCAACGGACCCGGATTTTTAGCCGGCCAAGGACTGTCAACTCGGCACCATTACTCGAAATTACTTTAGGAATATTTTCTGCCGCACCTACAACAACACTGGTTCTTTGAGATGACATTATAAAATTACCTTCAAAATGACAACAAAACGGGATTTAATTTAATACAACAGTAACGGATTTACACGTACTCGTAAAATAGCCCATTTTTATTAGAATCTATGCCCAAACAGAAATATTTTACTTTATACGACAATTTAACTTGTACACTCTCAAACCATTTTTTTTTAGTAGTAGTATATGGTATGTAGAGCTTCGTGATCTTGTATCAGCTGCTCAGACTTATCTATACCAATTATAAAAGCATTCATTAATGGGTTATCTTATTTTGCATATACATATTTATATTTACATCTTTATGTACTATTTTGACATGGTTATTTATCTGAGACATAGTTTCAGTTTGTAAATTGTACATAGTGTTTGTTCATAGGAGGAAACCCCACCCGTAGTTTGTGGGGGAGGCGGCGATGAGAAAATACGAATGACGCTGAGTTACTCGTATTCGGGCAACAAGCTTTATGTTCTTGTTCATAACAATTCGTTTACTACGTAATTCGACATTTCTTAACATTTTGCATTCCCTGCCATGGTTGCAATTGCGATCAGTTTCAAATGAATATAAAATGTTCGCAACCTTTAATCTCTATGTACATATGTATATATAATATGCAAAAATGTATACAAATTATGGTATACACAATAGGAATATTTTAGAAAATGGAGAATAGGGATAAATATTTCATAATAAATAATGTAGTTGTGCACCGCGTAAGTGATGGAATGCAAAAAATTTCACGAGTCAAGTTGCCCGTGTGAACGGAATGGGCATAAAAGAAGTTGCCGACAATGAACAACTATGTGTTTCATGTTTGAGATCAAACTTAATGGAATAAAGCCGATCCAGCTGAGAGCTACAATATCAGCAAGGAATAATAAGGCATATACTCGTATTTACAAATTGTGCTTTAAAATATATCAAAATTGCAGATGGTATAATATTGAAATCGCAAACATAATTTAATATTTCACCGTTATATTTACAGTAGTGTAAAGTGTACAAGTTAACTTTTTCAAATACTCAAATCAAATTTGCACATTCTAAAATTTATTTTAAAATTAATTAGATGGAAGTCATAGACAGATTAAACCTGCTCTAAAAAAGTGTTGCATGCTTCAATTAAATGTTAACTTTATCTTCGTTATAATAACGGAGAGATGGTTTTTCGCCAAGTCTTAAGTTACAACAAAGAAAAGCTGTTTTTAAACCAATCTGTCGAAATGAATTTAATTCGCAGTAGTAGTAAAAACATCATTTGAAATATTTTGATATAATAAACTAGTTTCGAGCTCTTAGAAATGGCTTATGATAAGTGATTGTTGAAAAAGTGAGCACTTTTTTTATTTAAAATAGTGGGAGTAAAAGTGAATATTATAATTAATAATTAGTAAGATTTTCTTAGCAAATCTGTGTTTTTTATATTATTATTATTTATTTTGTTTTCTTGCATATATGCAACACCACACGTTTTATTTACTTATTTAAATGTTATTTTCAATTGCGAAGGTTTCTTGTTCAGAATAAAAATATGCAATGCATATCATAATTTAACTAGCAAAGACCTGCAAAATATAAGGATGGCCTGGTTTCTTCTGATGACGAAAATTGCCGATCCGACGTACATGTAGCATCGAACCAAGCGGATCATTTCAGTTCTGACGAGGAACTAAACCTACCACTAGATTTGGAAAATTACGTTCCCTAAACTACCACTCTAGCAGCAACGTCCGCCAATGCTTAAACCATTGCTACTGCAACAGATCCATATCCAACCTCCGCTGTGCTTAGTAATGCCTAAAACCTCAAGGGACATCTAGTCGAGTAACGAGGACCAATATCACATGGAAATCCAAACATTTTCGTGGATCTGATAAGTTACCGCCTGAGATACTTTGCTTGAATACCCCATTTAAGTATTTTCGTACCTGATTTATATTATCAATCTTATGAGGGATCAGACTAATTTATACTCCGTGCAGTGTAAGCCTATAAATGTAGCTGGCCTAGAAATACGTCAACTTAGATAAGTGATAATAGATAGGTCGTCACTCTACCATCAAATATTGGCGGAGAGCAACAATACGTATCTATTGAACGTCCATATGTCGTAGCAGAATATAATCGACATATAAGGGGTGTCGAACTTTTATAGTCTGTTATGGGTCACTACTTAATAAAACTACGTAGTAAGCATTGGTATATACGAGTTTTTTACCATTTCATAGCCGTTATTATCTATTAACTTAGTAACTATTGGTTTTTATACCGAAGAATAATTGCTGAGAAGCACAGTGCCATAAAAGTTCCAAACTCTGCGGAATTCAAATTAGCCATAGTAAATATCAGATAGTCAGATTTTTGAAGCGCAAAAATTATGTTAGCAAATAGCAACAAAACATTTTTGAAAAAAATAAATGGATAGTTAAAAAAAATGTTTATTATATTGTATTAAATTAGAATATTAAAAATTTACTTGAGTATGTATATACATAAATTATACTAGAAATATTCGACAATACAAAAGTTAGGGATTGTTTACATCAAAAAAATTAGTTTTTTTACGATACGCTAATAAGCAATTAGTACAATAATAACTGCAAAACAAATATGCATGCATACCTATGTATGTACAAATAAAAATATCTATGAATGAAATACATTTATTTTTTTTAATTGTGGCTATATTTACATTTGAGCCCATTTATGTACGTACCTGTAGTTCACGAAAATTGCAGTGCTCATTTAGAAATTAGTTAAGTTAATTAAGTGTTAGTTTTTCAATGGGAAGTACCATTCTTATTTAACTCAACTTGTTTTTGAACACTACTAATGGGTGATCCAAGTAGAGGTACTTTTTTCAATAGCCTTTTTTTTTGACAGATCACGCGTGAGTCAAGCCGTCTTGTTATTATTGTTTGGCATTTCATCATAGAAAGACATACGCTTGAACCACGTATACAAATCGCTCAACTTTATTACAAAAACTAACGTTCTGTAAAGAATGTGTTTCGCGCGCTTCGCTCAACTTATTGTCAACATAATCGGCCTACTGAGTGTACTATTCGCAACACCATCATCCATCTTGAGACCCTGCATTCATTATTGGATCATATTCGACCGAATAGACCGAGTCCAGCACGCAGTAAAGAAAATATAGCGGTCGTAGCTGAGAGTGTACACGAAGGCCGTGGAGAGTCAATTCGGCGCCGACTGGCGCATTTTACGTCGATATCTTAAATTGAAAGCGTACAAAATACAGCTTGTGTAAGAACGGAAGCCGCTCGACCTTCCCGAAAGACATCGCTTCGCTCTTTGGGCTCTTGAAAAGTTCCAAAAAGATCCGACGTTTTCGAGCCAAATTTTGTTCAGCGATGAGGCCCATTTCTGGCTCAATGGGTACATATGTAAACAAGCAATTCGCAATTACGCATTCGGAACGAAGAGCAACATGAAGAGAAAAAACAATGGTTTGATGTGGTTTCATGGCCGGTGATCATCGGTTTATATTTCTTCAAAATTTATGCCGAGGAAAACGTAACCTGAAATTGAAAATCGTGATCTCATTTGGTTTCAGCGCCACGTCCCACACATCTCATCAATCAATGGATTTATTGAGAGAACCTTTCGGTGAGTACATAATTTCACGTTTTGGGACGGTCGATTGGCCACCAAGATGGTGGGATATCACATCGTTAGACTTTTGTCTGTGGGAGTATGTGAAATCGAAAGTCTATGCAGACAATCACGCTTCGATTCAGACCATGGAGCAAAACATCAAGCGTGTCATTCGCCAGTTACCAGTCGAATTGCTCGAACGAGTCATCGAAAATTGGACTCAACGGATGGATCATCTGATACGTAGCCGCGGCCAACAGTTGAAACAGATTTTCATTCGAATGATAATAAACATTCTCCATTAAATTTGAATTTTCTGTAAAAAAAGTAGGAAATCTCGAAGTAGATCGCCCTATATATAGACGAATACTACCAAACATAATTTACATTAAAATATTTCAAAGATAGGTAAAAAGTTGTGTTCATAAAAATAGCAGGGAAACTGCTAACATAATTCATTAAAAACATAATAATTTCAATCTAGAATTATAAAAATATTATAGTTAAACTAATATTTAGTCGAATAGGTTTTGACCCAGATATCGGCGTAACATCTTCGCAACATAAGGTCATTAAAACCCAGGCACCTTTCACCGTGACTGACTGCCGCACTAAATTCCACAAGAATGTTATATCAGTTGCAATTTTTTCGAAAACCTATTACATATTTTCCACTTTCTTTAATTAATTTTGGGATGTCTAGAGAAATCCTTTAAACTCCTCCTCTTATGTTCTGAGCCATTCGACTTTTTGAAAGGCCAATTTTTGCGAAATTTCTTCCCTGTATATTTAAACATAACAAATTCTATTAGATTAATATATTTGAGCTGGTCCATTAAGCCGTAAAATCAATATACCAGGCCTTAACTTTCTGTTTAGTTGGCATGACATCTGTAAAACATATTCAATAACCTTAAAGTCATTGAACAAGCAACATCATTTTTTTCATTGTGTTGAAAATGTCAAATTTTGTACCGGAAAGACCACCAAAAACGTTTAAAGACGTCGAACTGCATCAATCCATCAACATCGATTGGAAAAACGGTTCGATTCAGTAAAAAGGCAATGCTCTGTGTTTGGTGGGATCAGAAGGATGTGGTATATCATCAGCTTCTAAAACCTGGTGAAACTGATGACAAATGATCAATGAAGAGAATGAGCCAGAAGACACGGCGAAGAATATATTTAACTTACCAGTTGTGTTGGCTATTAAATTGGAATACGCCTTAACTTCTCAGTTAATATTAGGGTGGCTTTAAACAAATTTAATAAACTTTTGGTCAGTTTTTTGTCTGTCTATCCTTTTGTACCACTTGTTTTCAGTTTGTTGTAATTTTTAGGCAACTTGACATCACTGTCATGGAATAAAAATTATTTGGAAATATATAAGTTTTTTGCATTATGTGAATGATGTACTCTACATGAATCATTGTATAAACATACTGTGGCTAAACGGTAGAAAAAACAAATTCTGACAGATGAAAGTGAAATTTTGACATTTTTCGTGGTGAACCCGAACGTCAGAATTTTACCCAGCTCAAGATCTAGGTACAATATATAAATGTGATTACAGATATGCATTCACGAAGAAGCGAATTCAAAGGAACCGCTGCATACAAAACATGTAAGTTATGAAATATGATATTTATTCGTAATTATGAATTTATTTATTTTCAGGTGTTGTAGAATCTGATAGTTGTCAGAATCAGAATTGAAATGGATAAATTTATTAGATGCCTTGATGTTCGAAACAGAAATTTTTTTGTTATCAGAAACAAAGAAAAAAGATAGTCGCTGACAGATTTCAAATGTTAGTTAAGCAGTTAATTTATTTTATTTTTTCGAATTATCTTTATTTCTATTTGGGAAAACATAAGAATAGAACATAATGCCATAATTATTGAGTTTGTGGAAAAAATTGAGATATTTTTAGAGGATTTACAAAACGTACTAAACGTCATTTAACACCACATCAAATGCTTTTTTATTCAGTCGATAATGTGATATAAATATGTAAAGTAAGCATGTAAAAAATTTGATAAGCATACTATAATCTCTTAAAATCTTTCTATTAATATATTCTTAATAAAAGCTTAAACTGCAGAGCTCATTGTAAACTTTAATAGACTTTATTCAGTATTTTGAATTTATCAAACGCTTCCAAATTTATCTATTTGCAAGTATTGTCACATTAGTAAAAAGCTGATTTCAATATTGGTTTTGCATATGTACGAAAATTTGAAAATCTTATTTGGTTTTCACAACATCCCTGGTTATTATTTTTTTCGTACAATACAGGAATTATACTTTTAATAACGAAAGTTCTTGTCTCTTCCTTTATTTTTATTACTTAAGCAAGAAGTAAGCAGATGTAATATTTTTGTAGTTGATCTAAATGTACATATATTTGTGTAAAAAAGTCGCAGAAACGTTTCAATTGACTAAAGATTGGATTAGCTGCGAGTCTCTATGGAAGAGCATGGCCCACTCTGGAATATCTATATGTACATACAGTATGTCGGGTTGTAATGAATATTTAAAAAAAAATATCTAAACATTAATTTTTACATTTTACAATAAGATGTTACAAAGTATGCAATGAAAAAATATTTAATATACTTGAAGTTGATATTATTTATGATCTTTAAAATAAGCGCTTCATTGAAAATATTCTAAATTTCAGTAGTTTGAATTTTCACTTTTGAAAGAAGACAAACTTGCACAAACTTTGTTAATGTGCTGGAAATATAATCTCAAGTGAATATAAACAGTATCCTCAAAGGGTTTGTTCAAATATTAATATGAAGATTTATGTAAGGTAAGTATGTATGCTAATCGAAATAGCCTTATAGTAGTCCAAAAATTCTCGATTAAATAAATATCAAGACAAAAATTTGAGCGTCGTTATTGGGATTAGTTTTGAAATTCAAACGTCAAAATTTTACTTTCCATTTTAACAGCAAAATGTGAAATTTGTTTACACCATTGCACCCAAACTTAACTCACATAGCAAAATGTGATCGTTTGTCACAAGCCCAAGTAACAAATCGTATATTTTTGACCAAACATACGCAGGCGAATGCAATATAATAAGTAAACTAATCTCAAAAAATAGGCATTGGGTACGTGTTTCCTACTAATAAACTTCTACCCAAACGACCTAATTAGGTGCTAATTTGGTTTGTAAGACCAAATGATGACGAGCTATACAATATTGTCTCACATCTAGTGGGGAACTAAATTTCATAGACACCGTCATCTAGTGAGAAATATTTCATTCTAAATTTTTTTTAGTATTTTCATCGCTTATATACTATTTTTATAAATTTATTTAAAATCTATCTTATGTAATTAAACGTATGTGTGTATGCATTGTCACACGACATGGGGTTGTTTTTAATTGTACAACTTGATACATGTGAGTGTGTTCATATGTTATCTATATTATATAATATAAAAAAATATTTATTTAAAATAGTGTGAGTAAAAGGTAAGTGAATATTATAATTTTTAATTAGTAAGACTTTCTTAGTAAATCTGTTTTTTTTTATGTTAAGTAAAATTATTCTGGGTTTTTTATATTCATTTTACTTATTTCGTTTTGTTGCATATATGCAACACCGCACGTTTTAATTATTTGAATGTTATTTTCAAAAACTTTTTACTCGTTGCGGTTCTCTCGTTTGTACGTAAAGCATATACATAGTTGATTTATTTTCAATAAAAAATTAAAAAAAGAATAATTGGACTAAACTTACTAAGATTTTTTTAACGAAATTCATGGAGACGCTAAGTTTTTCTTATTAAACACAATAAATCAAATAACTGGATAATGTAAAGATTTTTATTTATATAAAAATTATTTGATAAACATTTATTTATCATTAGCATTGATTACTTTTAAAAATATACATAGTTTTATAAGTATGCAATTGATAGAGTTTTAGTGCGATCCCGTAACAGAAAAAAGGGTAACTTCAATGTAGAAATATAATGTCCATAGATACATTCATAATACATTTTGACCAGAAAGTTTTCGGAAATTGTCATTTAATCTGCCCGCGTTGAATATTTTTCAGCACTTTTTTTGTTTAGTTGGTAACACTGTCCTTAATTACTATGCCAAAAATGAGCGCGATCTGTCAACCAATTTGTTTGCAGCAGCTGTTGAAATCAGTCGACCTCAGTAGTGTTTTGTGATTTTTGCAATAAAAAAAAATACTGAAGAAATAATTTGCATCAAATTTTGTGTTTGGAGCCAATTTTCGTGTGCGGAATCGTTGTGAAATTTAGAAAAGGCTTATGGTGAATCTATTCTATCGAAAACCCAAGTCTTTCGACGTCTACCACTGACGATAACATCAAAAAAGTGAAGGAAATCGTGCACGATAATCGTCATGCGAGTGTTAGAGAGATAGCACATAAGCTAAACATCGGCCGTGAAGCAGCTCGTTTGATTTTGACCGATAATTTGGACATGAGGCGCGTTAATGCTCGGCTTCTTCCAAATTAGCTGAATTTTCTGCAAAAAGACAGCACCGAGCTGTAGTTGTGAACAATTTTAAGACCAAAAACTCGATTAACCACCGGATTTGGCCACATGCGACTTGTTTTTTTCAAGTTACCAACCCGCTTCGACTCGATTGAGGTCGTAAAATAGAATTCGCAGAGGGAACTGAAGGCGATCCCTGACAGCGCCTACAAGGCATGTTTCGATGATTGGAAAAAGAGGTGGCATATATGCATCGCTTCAGAAGGTACATATTTTGAAGACGACAAAAAAAATATTGATGAAGATTAAAAATTTTCCGTTTTATTTACAATTTCCGGAAATTCTCTGGTCACAATGTATATTTATATGAACATATGTATCTGCTGTGGAATATTTTTGCATCTGGTATTTATTAATCTACCATCTGCACAATGGTGATTTCAACCAAAAAATGTAAAAGAGTTTTTTGAGACCTAAAGGGGATCTAGACAGGCAATTAAATATTGCTAAAAATCTGAATTGTTTGAATACTTCCAATGAAGACTGCACATCGCTAATAATTAGTAATAGATGTCTAAATACATTTTATGTCATACATTGCTAGCAATTAACTGTCATTTTGATGGTTTGACAGAGCTGTTTATATTTGCACATAAATTTTGAAGAGGCAACATGTACATGTATAGCTTAATATAAGAATGTAGTTTAATAACTTTTTTGTGAACAGGTATTTATAATAGAAAACAATTATAATTTCGAAACAAAAGTGTATTGTACAATATATTAATTATTTTTCCTCACCACCTCTGAGGATGTAATGTAGGCGTGTTACCGATCTTTATTAGGTGTTGATACATGTGACAAAATTAAGAGAAAAACTTTACTAAACTTTTTTTTGAAAAATCAGCTGTACAAGTAGTTCTTAGATTAACGACAAAGACTCTGTCAAATTCGTGTATGCAAATGCCGGTGTGGAATACGCATTCCCGAGTGTGTAACTTACAATGAACAATGTACACTGTGAATACGCTTATTAAATGGAATGAGTGCAATAGGAAGATATCCAACAAACATATTTCACTATTTCTCGAACAACGATCGGATATCATTAAAATGTATTCGGATAAAAGGCTACATCATACGACCTGTTGCTACCTAGCCGTTGTTTGTATCACCTCAAACAAATCGAGTTAGATATAGGGTTATACATATATACAGAAATTATCAGGATGAAGAGACGAGTTGAAATCCGGGTAACTGTCTGTCCGTCTGTGCAAGCTGTAACTTGAGTACAAATTGAAATATCTTGATGAAACTTGGTACACATGTTCCTTGGTAGGACAAATCAGAGAGTTTCAATTTTACTCATAGGATCTCAGCATATTTGATACAGCAGCCGATATAAATTTCGAATTCTAATATTTTCTAAACTGAAAGGAATATTGAAAAAATTTACACGCTATATTATAGAGTAAAAAATTTCATATATACAATGTATATATGATGTACTTCATTTATTAAAATATATTTAAAATTAAAATTACTGCTAAATTTCAGGTCACAGCTTATTTGATAGATATTTTTCCATCACGAGGCGTCAGATTGTCGCACCGCACAACTGTATTTATTTTTGCCATGCATATTGGCGTCGTTTATGATTAGTTTCAAATTTTTTTATAAATACAAATTGTGAACCTTAGTACCTCCACTCTACAGCACATCATTGAGCGATATTTACATGAAAATCGAAAGGAAAATAAAGGCAGAAGCGCGCCAAACAAAATGGTTAGTGCTTCCGACGAGCGCTATATTGTTCGAAAAATCAAGATAAACCCCAAACTATCGACTCCGAAATTGGTTGTAGATGCTCAGCAAGAATTAGGAAAAACATGCAGCGCTGAAACTATCCGCCGCGAACATGACTTTAATGGCTCGTAAGAAACCGTTTCTTATTAAAAAAAAAAACATATATGTCGATTAAAGTTCGCTCAGGAACATGTTTGTAAGACCCATGATTTTTGGAGCACGGTTATATTTTCAGACGAGTCAAAATTCAATACATTTTGGTCCGATGGCATGTCTTACGTTTGGCGAAAAAAAGAATAGATAGCTAAGATAGAAAAAGGCGGTACTAGAGGAATGGCAGAAAATTACCCCAGAAACCACACTAAAGTTGGTCCAATCAATACCAACCAGGATCCAGACTCTTGTTAAGGCGAAAGGCTTTCACACAAAATATTAGAATTTAAGATTGAAAGTGATTTGTAAATGTTATTTTAGAATGAATTAAACTGTATCAAATAAGCTGTGCCCTGAAATTTAGCAGTAATTTAAATTGTATATACATATATTTGAAAATAAGATATATATGAAATTCATTACTCTATAATATAGCGATAAAATTTTTTCAATATTCCTTTCAGTTTAGAAAATATTAGGATTCGAAATTTATATCGGCTGCTGTAGCAAATAAGCTGTGACCAACTGTATGTGTAAGCTTTATGCAAAAATTGGAAAATGGGCGTGGCACCGCCCACCTTTAGGTGAAAACCCATATCTCGGGATCTACTTGACCGATTTCAACCAAATTCGGTACTTAATATTTTTCTGATATTCCTATGTACAGTGCGAAAATGGGCAAAATAGGACTACAACTACGCCTACTTCGCATATAACATAACTTTAAATTCCATCTGATCAATTCATTTTCCGGTATACAAATCATGAAGTTATTGACTACAACCATGGCTACTTCCCATTTAAAAGTGTATTAAATTTAGAAATGATTTGCCATTGAATCTTAATAAATGTAAGACGATGTGCTTTTTTCGTAGAACACCATAGTCAAGAGCAAGTTTTTAACTATGTTGATTTGGGAGTTAATATGGACCCTATGCTTAGTTTTAGTCTTCATATTGATACCATGGTATTAAAAACAAAAGCTGCCCTCAGTTTTTTTAAACGTTGGTCTAAAGTTTTTAGAGATCCGTATATTATTAAAACACTTTTTAGAACTTTGGTTAGATCTATATTGGAATATGGATCTTTTGTATGGAACCCTAGCTACCAAATCCATTATGACAAGTTAGAGTCTGTTCAAAATCAATTTTTACTTTTCGCTTTAGGGTATTTCCGATGGGATTCTAGAATAAATCTACTTCGATACACTAGTCGTTTAAAGCTTATTAATTTACCTACACTTTCTAGTCATAGGGAAATGCTTGGCATAATATTCTTAGTGAAAATCTTGAATGGAACAGTTTAGTTCTTTTCTCCTG